TCAGTTAATCTGGGGACTGACCAACAATCAAGTTGGGACTAAAGATGGGACTGCTCGAGCAACCAGCCGAGATGAGCCACCTGCCAGCCCTGCAAGTGAGCCACCCTCCCTCCGCACAGGTCCTCAGGCCCAGAGGCGTCCCTTGGAGCCCTGCCCAGATCAAAGATTTCTGAGTAAGATAAACAACTGTGTTTTAAAAAATATTAGTTGACAAATGACAACTACGATGCTCATTATAATGTGATATTCCGACATGTGCATAGCTTATGCAGTGATTAAATCAAGCAGATCAACATAGCCATCATTCTTAACGATTTTTTGTGGGTCACTATTTAAAAACCTCCTTTTGCAATTTTCAAGTATGCAATGTGTTGTTACCAGCTGTTGTCACTATCTGCACAGCAGGTCTCAGGATGTGTTCCTCCTGATTGAAATCGTACCCTTTGACCAATATCACCCCACCTGGCCTCTGTTAATTGCCGGTCTACTCTCTAATGCTAGGAGTTCAACTTTTTTTTTGGATTCCACGAGTAAATGAAATGCAGGATCAGTTTTTCCATGCCTGATTTATTTCACTTGGCCTAATGTGCCTTCCACGTTCATCCAGATTATTTCAAATGACAGAATGTCATTGAGGCTGAATCCTATTCCATCACGGATAGGATCATATCCTCTATGTCCACTCCTCTGCTGATGGATGCTCAGGTTGGTGGCTTGTCTTGGCTCTCGTGAAGGACGGTGCCATGAACGTGGAAGTGCACATACAGCTTCGACAGACAGATTTTAATTTCTCTGGATCATGCCCAGAACTGGGATTGCTGAGGAGCATGCTAGTTCTATGCTTAGCTTTATGAGGAACCTCCACACTGTTTATGATTGTTGTTTTTTAACATCGTGAAGTGTTGGGGTTTGCTACGCAGCAATCAGAGCACTTGACGGCCAGAGTACCAAGCTCCTGGCTTTCTTCAGGCTTCATGGTCACTTTTTGGTGATGTCCTTTGATGATGAATTTTCATTATGCAAAAAAATCAGCATACACAGACTCCATGTGTCCAATACCCCGCTCGAGTCTTGGTCTTCTCAGAGCCAATTTTATTTCCTCTAAGTCCCTACTTGTTTCCCTCCATCCATCCATGTTACGATTATTATTTTGCAGTACTGGGATCAAACCCAAGGCCTTATGCATGCTGGACAAGCTCTTACCACTGAGCTACATCTCCAGTCCCAAGCCAACCATATTCTTTTTAAGCAAATTCCTCAGCCCTTTCTTTTCTTTATTATTGTCCCTTGGTGATCTCAACTGGACTCAAAACTACATGCTGCTCACATGCTGAAGACTCCTAAAGTTATCGCATGTAATAGCATGGTGGCCCAAAGCATGACTTCTGGTGTCTTCATGACCAGACTCAAATTGTGACTTCCACAGACTACCTTTGTGGCCTCAGGCAAGTTACTTAACCTCTGTGTGCCTCAGTTTCCCACTCTGGGAAATAAAAGACAATACTTCCTACTAGCTTGTGGTGTCATTCTGAGGATTAAGTGAGTTACACTTGTAGAATGCCTGGAATGGAGACTGCACTTGTGCAGCCTCCGGGTGATGATCGTCTCTCCAGCCCGAACCCCAGGCTCATCCGACCACCTGCTCACTTGCCATTCTCACTTAGAGGTCAGAGAGACACCTCAGCTCATTATTCTAAAACCAAGCTCCTGGTCTACCCAGGCCCTCCCTCAGTCTCCGATCTCAGTTAAGGGCATCTCCGTCTTTCCATTTCTTAGCTCAAAGTGCCACGATGTGATGTCACCCTTGACTTCTCTCTTGCTCAGGTATCTCACATCAAATCCTATTGGCTCTTTCAAGATGTAGCTAGAGACACCGCCATTATGACTTCAGAGAAACCCCCATCAGCCTCGCCTGTGATGTGATGAGAACCTCCTGACTGGTCTGCCTTCTTCCACCTCCCTCCAGCCTCTCCCTCAGTCCACTCCCAAAACAGCAGAGGGTGCCTTTACAGACTTAAGTCCAATCATGTCACCACTCTGACACTCCATGTCACTCTCCACTGGCTTCTCATGTGATTCAAAGTGAACATCCAAAGTCCCTACAACCCTCTCGGGTTCCATCCTGACCCGTTCTCCCTCCTTTTTGCCAGCCTTGCGGACCTTTCTGCTCCTGGAACATGCCAAGAGTCTCCCACCGTACATCTTTACAATCCAGCCATCCCTCTTCTTGGGATTCTCTTGTCCAGATCTTCATGGCTGCTCACTTGATGAGCATTCTGCTGGATGGAGAGGCTGGAGTCCCTCTGTTTGCTTTTCTCCTTGGTGTTAATCACCTAACACGATTCCTAACACACCCATTTATTTTGTGTATCACTCATCTTTGGTCTCCATCTATAAAGTGTACACACCATGAGGCATTTTGTCTGTTTTGTTCACTGCTAAATCCCTAGGACAGCACCTGATACAAAGTAGATGGGTAGACAGATAAATCTGTTTTTGGAAAGATCCCTGAGGAAGCAATATGGAGGATAATCAGAGAATGAAACTCTTTTGACCCAGCTTGATCTATACCCAAAGGACTTAAAAACAACATACTACAGGGACACAGCCACATCAACGTTTATAGCAGCTCAATTCACAACAGCTAAACTGTGGAGCCAACCTAGATGCCCTTCAATGGATGAATGATTTAAAAAATGTGGTATATATACACAATGGATTATTACTCAGCAATAAAAGAGAATAAAATCATGGCATTTGCAGGTAAATGGATGGAGTTGGAGAAGATAATGCTAAGTGAAGTTAGCCAATACCAAAAAACCAAATGCTTAATGTTTTCTCTGATATAAAGAGTCTGACTCATAGTGGAGTAGGGATGGGGAGCATGGGAGGAATAGAGGAACTTCAGGTAGGGCAGAGGGGTGGAAGGGGAAGGGAGAGGGCAGGGGGTTAGCAAGGATGGTGGAATGTGATGGACATCATTATCCAAAGTACATGTATGAAGACAGGAATTGGTGTCAACATGCTTTATATACAGAGATATGAAAAATTGTGCTTTACATGTGTAATAAGTGTTGTAATGCATTCCAATGTCATGTATTTAAAAAATAGAATCAATTAAAAAAAAGGAAAAGAAAATATCTGTGTAAGAACACTTGCAAAAAACATGATGAGCTCTTGAGCTGGAGAGAGGCATGAAGGCAGAGGAGTGACTGTTCCTCGGCAGAACCACAGAGTTGATGGCCGTCTGAGTACAGAGGCCGGGAAGGGGACAGGGGTCAGTGAGGACATGCAGGTCTCTGGCTGGAGTGAATGCAGGGGTGCCACATGGAATAAGTTTTAAGAAAAGTATAAGTTAGATGTGTCCAATGTGAAGGCGTCATGTTGGAAAGACATATAAGAAAACATAGGCCTGGGGTTAGAAATGAGCCTTTATAATTATGCACTTAATCGCATGGTTGTGATTTGTTTGGTTTTTATTTTATTTCTTTTTGGTGCTGGGATTGAGCCCAGGGGCGCTTCACCAATGAGCCACATCCCAGACCTTTTTATTTGTTATTCTGAGTCAGGGTTTCACTAAGTTGCTGAGGCTGGCCTCCATCTTCTGCTTCAGCCTTCTGCGTTGCCTGGATCCAGGTACGTGTTCCTGTGCCTAGCTTAATTGCACATTTTTAAAAATTATATTTCAATTATTATATGAATAGTCTTATCCATTTAGGTTGAGCTCTCATTTTTTTGTTTTTGTTTCCTCTACTCACAATGGTGAGATAATAGCAGGACCTTGACAGATAGTTGTGATTGACAGATGGGCTGAAGCATATTAAAAAACAAAACAACTTAGCCACCTATTCCCTTTCCAATCTCTGCTATAATTAGGGCTATGATGCATGGCTACATGATCCCCCAATACATTTTCCCCTTCTTTCAGAGCAATGGAATTATAGCTGGGTATATGATGACTCAGCTAGAAACTGTCACTTTCCAGGTACCTTGCAGTTGATGAGGGCATGTCCCTGAGGTCAGGCCAAGGGATGATAGTGGCAGCCACGGGTGCCATTTCTAGAGCTTGGCCTTAAAACGACAGGACTGTGTCCCATTCCCTGTGGTCTCTGACCCTAAGTGAAACAAGGCTCTTTTGTGACCCAGCTTTGACCAGGCAGCTTAAGTAGAAAGACCGAGGGATGGTAAGAGAAGAGGATGGAAGGAACCTGGCTGGGCCTTAGGTGGCCTGGGCGAGCAGGGTGACATGCTGACTGTCATCTGGGAGAGGATTGTCCGTCTTCTTTAAACATCTGCATTTTGGAGATGCCTTATTACGAAGCTGAGCCTTCATTCTGACAGATGGTTTGGGTGACTTAATTGATGTCCTTGTTTCTTAGTGACCCCAGTCAATCAAGGATCAAGAATTTTTAAAATATTAATGGAATATTTTTCAAAAGTCTGCCCTTGGTGTTGGTGAATACTTGTTTTCTAAATGTGAAAGGAATCATAGAATTATTAAAGGGAACAGACTCAGACATGTAGGCATTTAAGACAGTTTAGTACTTTCGTGATAGGTCAGCGATTTGGCACAATAGACTGATAGTTTTCTTTTTGTGGTGCTGAGGGTCACACCCAGGGTCTCATGCATAATAGGCAAGTGCTCTAACCATTGGGCTACACTCCCAGCCTTAAATTGATCTTCTAAAATTTCTCCCATAATATTCAGTTCTTTTTTTTATTAAATGGTTTTGATTCAATCTTTTTAGCACACTATTTTTTAGCCTATTCCAGGTGATTTTACTATCTTAACTATTTGGAGGTGCCAATCTTCCCAGTTTTTGTGTCCTTATTTCTCTTTCTCTCAAGGTAGGTCATTTTTCTGCATGTGCTTTGTGAGCTCATTTGGCAGAAGAACTGAGACTTCAATAAAACTAGAACAACAACAACAAGAAAATTAAAGGAAAAAATAATGGCTGAGGTCTTTTTGTTTCTCATTTTGTTCTCTGATTTATTCCCAGCATCTCAAACAGGACACGGCACACAGCAACCCCTCAGAACACAGGCAAGAGTGAGTGAGTGAGTGAACGCAGGGTGTCTGGGCTCAGCCTGTCCTGGGCAATCCAGCTCTGGAGCCAAATGTGTGTCCTCACCCACACCAACAAGAGGCCTCCCAAGCTCACATCCGTGGATCACCTCCGGGCCTGTCAACCGTGACTTCGTCATACGCCTTGATCGTCCCTCTCTCTCACACCAAGCAGCTCATGAAAACATCCCTTTCACCACACAGACTCCTTGAAGAGAGGCCTGGTAAATATGATTTTCTGTGCTCTAGATTGTGGAATTTGAGCTTCCTGCATGTTACAGTGCCTGCTCAAAGCTGGAGTCCCGGGTCCCATCCAGCAGACCTGTCGCCTGTCCACCTCTGAGCGGAAGGGGCCATCTTCTTTCCATATCATCCTCCGGGCACACAACTCCAGGGAGAGGATGAATTGGCAGTCAGTAGGTTTAGTGCCTTCTGTAGGACAGTGAATGCAGAATCAAACAACTTCCTGTGGGATGAGCAGGGGCTTTCCGAAATCATGACATAAAAGACTGGCCCTAAAGACATCCTGCAACCCAAGAGCAGCCTACGATGTAGCCCCCTGCTGTGTGCTGAGGGTGTCTTAGCTCTCTCACTCCCACCCACGGTCTGCAAATCCAACTTTTCATAGGCTTTTGCCTCCAGTGATCCAAAGCACCAGGAATGGTATTTAAACCAACCTGAAGAACACGCTTCATAAAGCATTTTCTACCATAACTAGCGAGACGGACCTGGGTGTGTGTCTGGCTCTGCCCCTTACCAGCTTTAATCCCTAGGCAAGTGGCTGGACCTCTTGGAGGCTCAGTTTTCTCATAGTAAACTAAAGATCACAAAACTCATTTTATGGGGATGGCTATAAAAATTAAATCACATAATGGTTGGGGAATGCTTAGCACCGTCCCTTGCACAAGAGGCAGTTAATTTGAGTCACCTTTGCTTCTCTCCCCATTCCTCCACACAGGGACAGACACCGTGGAGAACTTCTTTGTAAACCCGTGAACCTCACTTCTCAAGTTCCACAGACTCGTTCCTGAAAGTGACCTGTACACTGCAGGTTTTAGAAATCAAATTCTATTTTAAATGTACAAAGGAGTTTTTGACAGAGTCCTTCTCCCCTGAAAGTCATTTGGGTCTGGCACGCTGTTCCGCCTGGCGGGGGCCAGGGGGCTGAACTATAATGACATGCAGATGTACCATTGTTCTATGGAAGTCGAGTCTGGCTCCAGACGGAGTTCAGGAAAAGAGAGTGATGATCCCTGTTGAGGGGGCTGGGAATTCTGGCCCCTGAGCTAGTGCTGAGGGGGAGGGGGACGAGGAAGCTACAAGACCATCGATCCTTGCATTTCCAGTTCATTAAGCACCTGCTACGTGACGTGACGGGGGTTGGGGGGTGCGGGGGGGGGGGTGGTGGTTACGGTGGTGGTGGATGCTCTACCAACATTTAACTTACCTCTGGCTTGGTGATCAACTGGATAGTGTCCCGTGAAAGCTAAAGCTCTAGAGTACAGCAGTCACTCGGCTATGGAGGGGGAATAATAAAAGAACATTCTTCCCTTGAGCCGTGGACTCCATTGGGAAGAGGTGAGCTCCCAGAATCCTGGGAGGATCTTGCTCTGGTGACACTGATGAGGCTGGTGGCGGGAGAAGGGAGTGGTTTTTACGTAGGGGTGAGGATGGAAGGCTTAAGTCTGTGAGAGCCACCAACGGTCGCCCTTCCTCCACAGGGGCAGAGCTGGGCCGGCAGGGAGGGGAGCCTGGGGAAGGTGCGCTCTTAGCAGAGTAGGAAACTTGTCTTTGACCCCTAGGACTTGGCAAGAGCACATGACCCACAGCCCCTGCCCACCCCGCAGCGGAGGGGCTCCATTTCATCCAGGGGTCTGCTATGAAGGAATCCTGTGGCACAACACCCCCTCTCCCTTTTGTCTTCTCTGCAAATCTGACTTTTCATAGGTTAGGTCTCCTTGCTGGAAACTGGAGCCTTAAAGAATAGTTTCAAAATAGTTGAGAAATGGCCTGTTCATTTTGAATGGTATTCAACTCCATGAAACTACAGTGTTGGGAGATATCTGGACACCCCATAACAATGGGTCTTGTAACAAAAAGAAAGTGTTCCTTAAATTAAAAAAAAAAAAAAAATTGGCACATCAATTTGATTTTCAAAACTTGAAATGAATTGCCATCCTGAATTTGGAAGTTTTCACCCGGCAGGCCTGGAAGAAGGTGACATATATTCAGTCCCAGGGAACGCCATCAGTGGCAGAGGGGAGCTGGGGTTAGGGTCATATGTTAGTTAGATGTTAAGGCCTGTCAGGGACCCGGCACCTCAGGTCAGCAGCGCCCTCCTGCAGGGGCAGGCAGGGACTTTTGGACCTGGAGTTGGTGCCCAGTCCCTTTCTCAGGTGCAGGCCCTTGTCCTCGCTGTTGGGCCCCCTCCCATTTCCTCAGTGGCATGAGACCCCCTGGGTGGGTCTGGTGTGGGAACACGCTCTGCCACTGCAGTTCCCCTCGGGGATGTCACACCACCACTTGCTCTTGGGTTTGCCATTCGGCAGAGCTCTCACCGTGCTCCGAAACACAGGGACTCTCCATGTTAGAAGTCCCCTTAGAAAGCTGAAGACCTTTCCGACATCCTTCTAGTTGCTTGTGCCCGTGGCCGTCTCAAGCTGCCCTGCCCCTGAGTGAATTTCTCTTTCTGGCCTTCTCCGGTGTTGCCAAGGGAAGACCAGCTACGACATCACATGATTGATTCTTGGACAAGGTCCCCAGGGTGGATCTACTCTTGGGCGACCGACTTCTCTGGCCTAGGACTTGATACTTTATTGACATTTAACGTAGCCTCTGACTCCAAGGAATTGGATATTATTATCCTCATGATTTATGGGAAAATAAACTTTAGAATATTGGATGTTTGGAATAATAGCCTCCTCTGACATCACATGGGTTTTTGCAATTTCTATTTAAGGTTAGATTTTACATGTGAGGGATGCTATTATCATTCTCATCTTAGACAGCAAGGGATATGGGCAAGAAGCATAGCTTTCATGCTGTTAAATCGTGCAGTGATTAAAACAATCAACCAGCACTTACTTTGGATTATTTATATCTTTCCATGCACAGGACCAGGCAGGAGGGCAGCGGATTCACCTGCTTTCCTCGGGCCCAAGGGAGCTGCAGGCAGAGTGCCGTCTTCATCATGACTGGTCCCTTTATACGCGATGCCTACTGACAGGTGCCTCACAGGACCACAGGAGGCGAGGCAGGCGGAATACCTCTCTCCTTGGGCCTCCTGCTCCAAGTGTGCTTAGACTCTAAAACGGCTTGTGCTATTGTTTGAATGTGTGCCCCCAAATTCATGTGCTAAAAACTTTCGCCCCAGTGCAGCAGTGCAGAGAAGTGGCACCTCTAAGAGGTGGTTAGATCCCGAGGACTCCGTCTTCAGGAGGGTGTTAATGCCATCATGGGAGGTGGGGGGCCATTACTGCAGGAATGCTCCTGAGGAAAGGGGGACTTCCGCCCCTTCTCCCTCTCATATCTGTGCTCTTCGGCTCTAGTGTGATGCAGCAAGAAAGCCCTCACCTGGGACTTCCCAGCGTCCAGGCCATGAGCCAGCTAAACTTCCATTGCTCAGAAATGACTCAGTTTGTGGCTTTCTGTTATAGCAGCATGCAGCGCACTGAGACTGCTTTCTTGGCAGAAAAAAGCAGAATACCCAGATTCTATCCTAAGATGCCGAGCCATTCTGCGGCTCCTTATGCACCACAAATGGTAGGATCAAAACACCAGACCTAAAATTTCCCAGTGAAGTTGATGGGGCTCAACCCCCGTTGGCCGGGTGCCTTGGGTGGTTAGCCATCTCCTACTCCTCCTTCAGTCACTCCACCTTCAGCTCATTCTGTCACCTTGCTGTCAGAGACTTGACGTCTCTGGTGCTCTACTTCTGCTTTCTTCACCCAGGCCCAGCTATTTACCTTCCCAGATACCGACTTCCTCCTGAAAAAGGTGACAACGGCTTCTGGTCCTTTTTGCTCTCATACTGCACACAGATTGTCCTCTGCAAACTTGATCCAGGCTGCTTCCCTGGACACTGTTTGGAAAGAAGGGCCCCTGACCAGAGGGAGCTCTAGAAACAAACACAACTTTCTTGTGGAGCTGCGGCCAGCCTGCCTTTCTGCCCACCTCCATCCTGGGATCCAGGGGTCCATGCCAGACAGTCCTGCCTCAGCCGCCCTCACGATTCCAAGGGGGAAAACAAATCTACAGAAGGGAGAGAGTATTTCAGTGAGAGGATGTGGCCTGGGGAGAGAAATAGGAATGAGAACTGGTTTGATCAGAACTCATGCTTCAAGTTGGAGTTTTCAAGTGTTTCAAGGAGGAGGATCAGTGGGGTAAAAATATTAAAGACTAGTGTTAAGGAATTTGGAATCCATTAGTTAAAAACCATTTGAGATAGTTTCATAACATTATTGATATTAGCATTTTTATTTACTGAGAAAAAATGTGTAAGATATTTCACTATGATTGATGAGTGTTTATGTTCCTTGAAGTTTTATTTAATTGTTGTTTTACTTATTTTGAGACTGTGTTATTCATTGCATACTGGTTGAGAATTGCTATACTTCCTTATGAATTAACCTTTATCATCATAGAGTGGCTACCTTATCTGAAATAATGAATTTTGTCTGTAATTCTAGTTCATATGATATTAATATTATACCACCAATTTTCTTTTGGCTAGTATTTGACCCAGAGTAAAATATTCTTTGTTGCTGGACCATCTTGGAAATGTTCCTTTCGCGCTTTTAACCTATATTAACTATGTAATTCTGTTTCTTCTCCCCACTGCCATTTAATAGTACTCCCAAACCTGGGCTTGAACCTACAGGTATATGTATACAGGGATGCACATACTAACTTGTATGTGCTGCTTGTTACTATCTCCCAAAGAGAGTTTATTGTATGAATCTTAAGCTCATTTGAGACTCATTTCACAACTTACCTCCAGTCTCACATTATCACCACCTCTCATCCTTTTTCCCTAAAAAATGAACTCCTTCCCTATATCTCCTACTCCCTTCTTTTTTCTTGAGTGTGGAGCCTAGGAGTCATCCCTCTCTTGTTTGTTTAGCTTTCACCAGCCTGGGTCCAGTGGCCTTGGCTGGAGAGGCCAACAGAACCTCAGCACAGGCTCCCAGGAGAGGCTAAAGGCTGGCATGCAGGGGAAAGAAAAGCTAATATGTAGAACATCTGCCAAATTCTTCCTCTTCCTCTGAAATTCTGATCCTTTGAAGCCCTTGATTGTCCTGGAAAGTTTTGCAATCCAAGGTCCCCAAATTCTCAAGTGAGGTCTTTAGTAAAAGTGAAATTCAGTGAAATCCCTGGCAACATCTCCCTGGATGGGAAAAGGAATCAGGAATCAGATTCCTGATCTGGGAAGCTGTGTATCACAATATGGTAAGGTGTGTGCTCAGGGCTTGAGCAGGGAAGGGCCTGTCCAGCTGAGAATGACCTCCTCCTCCCTACCAGAATCTTGTTCCCAACTCTACCTGAAGCCCAGGATGGAGAGAGAGAGAGAAAAAAAAATCCTTCTTAGAAGATTTTCCATTATTTTTCTCCATGTGATCAGCACGGATGAAAGAGTTCTGTGATTGAGTTGAGGGTCACATCTAACTATTGGACCATGGCAACAGATACTGAGCATCACAATTGGTTGTCACATAGGACTTTCGTGGGGTTTGGAGTTTTAAATGCCATTGTTGTTCTCTATATGGTAACCCCCTCAGCGCTCTCACTTACGCGCTCTCTCTCTCTCTCTCTCTCTGTCTCTCTCTCTTCCTCTCCCCCCCACCGGCCCTCTCAGGTGAATTCAGGTGCCCTGGTGTCTGTAAAAGTCTTGTCTTTAGAAATCCTTGCCCAGCTTTCTTTCACTCAGAGAATTGGTTTTCTCTCAAGAAAATGCTCTTTCCTTTTACTGCACAGTGAACTGGGAGCCCTAAAAGGAGTGGACGGAGACAAAAGTGAGGCCAGTGGAATTTGCCATATTGGACCCCAGGAGATGAGAGAATTATCATTCAGTTCTCTGAAACCTGAAGTTTTAGGGGTCTATTGAGAGGAGAAAAAAATGTTCCTTGGTTTTTGTGACCTACTTAAACATTCTTTGCAAGCTGTAATCATTTGAGGTTTTCTAAGAAAAGAGGAGAAAATAGTCTAAATATAACCCTGAAAGGCAGGTAACCTGACAACAAAGCAACCCATCTGCAGAGATGATTTCTCTGGAAACTGGCAAAACAGGCGATTTCCCTGGTCATTCCTGGCGTGCCTGCTACCACACCTCATCCCTGCTCTGGATTCCTGGTGGCACTACTGGCCTTTTTTCCAAATGTCGTGCCAGGGCCACCCACATCCCATTCCTCCCACCTGGAACACCCAGCTCACTCCTCCCCCAAGCCTTTCCCACCTACCTTCAAAATGCAGTTTGAGACCCTTCGCAGAGATTGACTCAAAGCCAGCTCTTCCATTAAGCCTGTGGTTCTGTCTCCAGCCCCTCGAGACTCTTGGAACCTTCGTCCAGTGTGCTGTAAGGTAGGGACAGCAGGGAATGCAGGGCCAGCCGTTTGGTCCAGTGGTGGAGGTGGACCTGTGCTGTCTGCCCGCACTCTGCCGTGGAGTCTGCCCTGTGAGGAGCACCAGTTCTGTGCCAGCAGGGCTGCAGGTGCAGGCCAACCAAGAACGGCATGGAGCTCGCTCAGCTCAGCTGACCAGCTGCACCCTCGCAGCCACAGGTCACCCCTCCTTGCTCTTTATGCATATTGGCATTCCATCTTTTCTCCCGGGTGGCAGGTGTTTCCAGAGACGGTGCCTGAGTATATTAAGGGATGTGGCAGAGTAGAAAGGTGGTAAGAGCAGTCAGCACATGTGAGAATGTGGTGATCTTGCAGGCCTTCCACCATAAGGATGCACTTGCTCCTTGGAACCACACCATAAATGCCACAAAGGAGGCATTACTCTCATTTTAAGGATTAGAAAAATAAAACACAGAGGACATGCAGTCAGTAAAGGCCAAAGCCCAGGCTCTTGACCCTAAGCCCTCGACCCATCTGGGTTTTGGAGTCACACAACACACACAGGGCTGAACTCACACTGACTGGACTCAGGAAGAGGCATGGTCATCTGGTATTCTTATTCAATCTCTTTCAATCTGATTTGAAAAAGTGACAGAGAGAAAGTTATGCAGCTTAGATATTTAGCTCTAGATGAGCCTGGACATCACAGTCAAGGTGGTCACCAAGGGTGGGCAGGGACCAGCACTTAGCAGGTGCAGTGAGTGCACTCATCATGTTGGGGAGCCGAACAGGACTCCCACGAAGTCGTTTCTGTCCCTCTCAGGTTCTCTACGCCAGGGTGACACTGTGGTTTTAATAGTTTTAGGTGTTAAAGTCATTAGAAGGTAAGTAGGAACCATCACTGAAACTTTTCTTATTTTATATGAAAGGGAAAGTTTAAAACCTTGCATTTAACAACTAACTGGAATAAAAGTTCTAACTTTTATTTAGAACTGCCATATCATCGAACATAAAGTTTTCTTTTTCACTGTCTGAATCTGAAACTTTCAGGATTATTTTGTTAAGATCTGAAAAGGTAATTTGACATACTGATCTATAAAGTGTGAATTACCCCAGGGGTTAGGAGGTAAGTTTCTGTAGTAATTAGTGTGCCAGAAATAATTTCCTCCCTCTCCCCCGCCCCTTCCCCCCACGTACTCGCTTTACTCTGGGTCTCTCAAGTCATTCTTCCAGGACTGCCTAATGTAATGAATTCCTCCCCCTCCACCCTAGGGAGGACCATTATTGCCATTCTCTTGTGGAGCTGTGTGCTTTCTTGTTGACCTCGTGGTATATCACAGAACTGTAAAATTCTAGCTGTCAGTAATGTGCTGGGAAAGGCAATTTTAATGGGGTGATTTTTTTCTGCAAGCGAGGGTTAGGCAGGACCCTCTCTCTATCTTTCCCGCTTTCTTGGTTCTGTACTCAGGATCTTGGTGAGATTTGAGGCTATCTGGCAAAGTCCATGTTCTCCCACTTATCAGCCCGCTGGTCCTGAGAAGCTATTGATAGTCACTGAGCCGTGTGTAAAACTGGGATGAAAACATTTGCCTCCCTCCCCCACCAGGGCTGTAGAGTATCCTGGTTATTCACAGAAAGTGGAAATGCTTTGTATGCTCCTAAGTTTTATTTTGATAAATGAGGACAACTGCCAAGTTGTGCATGCCCAGGAGCCAGGTGCTCTAGATCCGCTATTGAAATATCCGCACCAAGTCCACAAGGTGTCCCATTCTGTGATGGGAACTGCAGGGCTTGAGGGATGAGTGCATTGCTGAAGGTGACGAAGAGGTCGTAGGACCAATTTCCTTCAGAGCAAATTGCTACATAGCTTTATCAAAGGTCTTTATTCTTGTGCCAGCCCTTGGCCATAAAGACAGTATAGAAGATTAACCACAAGTCCCCGACCCTAGGGCACATTGTTTAGCTTCTATAAGTTGTAAGTAACAGAGACTCTCAGTTTAAAGGGATTTCAGAGAAATCCAGGGACGAAAACTGAATTACAGTTGGGTGTTGATGGAAGCTGGAGAATCAAGACTACTCTTGCCTTCCTCCTCCTCCTCCTCCTCCTTCCCTCCTTCCTTCCTCCTCCTCTCCCTCCTCCCCCTCCCTCTTCCTCCTCCTCTCTCTGGCCACACAGTGGAAAATCCTTTTGCGTGCTCCTCCCCCTTCTTTTCTATTTTGCTGGGCTCCCTGGTGACCTCTTGCCGGTGGCCCACACGGTTTCCCCACACTCTCCACAGTGGCACCTGTTGCTGGGCCTACTTGGCTTCTGCTCCTACTGCAGAGTGGAAACCCTCCAGAGTCTCATGGTTCCCATTCCCAGGGAAGAAGCTCGTTGGTTCCATTCACACCTTCCGCTCAGGTCTCAGGTCTCTGAGTGCTGACCAGGTCCTGGGTTGGTAGCTTTTGCTTCAGGATGGCTCTGGGACTGACCGGAAGCCATGGAAGAGCAGCAGATGAGAGCGGCATGACTATCTGGAAGGCGTTTTTGCCTTTCATTTGGGGCAAAAGTCCCGTATATTCCTGTTGCCTTTTAGCTCTTGTTCCCTTCTTTCCAACATATTCTCTGTTTCCAAAATAATTTTCAGTAATTGGGTCCCAGTTGATTCAGATTTTATGATATAGGTTCCAGGAAGCACGGGACCTTGAATCTTGCCTTCTGATTCCCCATTTCTGGTATCAGTGCCATAGTTCCATATATCATTATTTCACATGTTTTTGAAGAAGGTAGTAGCAAACCGTGTCACAGTATTTCAAAAAGCTTCTATTAACAGAAGCCACTGGGTCCCAAGATTATTGCTGGAATATGTGCAATTTAATTTAAAACATGTTCAAAGTAGAAAGTCTCTGAGTAGTGAAGGAAAGGAAGGGCTGGTCTTCCCTCCTGGGCCTCCGGCCTGCTGCCTTCCCACCGTCCTAGGTTCTGCTCTCCCGGCTGTGGGGCTTAGCAGGGAGGCCTTCTCTTGCTTTACTTGAATATCTGCTTACAACTATTTTTCATTTAAAAAAAGGACAGCTGTTGTTCAGTGGACACATGCACGGCTCAGTTCTGCGTACACGGCTGTGGGGTAGACAGCTCTGTTTAGGGCAGGAGCCCCAGGGGAGCTGGGACCGAACTCTGATTTATGCTGACTGCGGTTGTGGGAGAGTGGAGAGCCACGTGTCGACACCCCATCACGTTGGGTCGGGTGGCTGAAACCTCCCTACGACTCACGGCCCAACTCCTGGATTTATCTGCCTCTTGAAGAGAAAGTGCTCGTCACTACTGGAAGGTTTTCTGTTTGGGGTATGGGCTTCTCTGTTTCCCAATCTTACTTTTCTTAATTCTGTCCACACTCTAGAAGCCTCCACTCTGTTAGCAAGACACCAGGTTCTTCTGATGCAAACCTGACTTAGACCTTGGGCTCCGTGGGCTTCTTCAGGCCCTAAGTCTGTGATCGGGTAGATTGCCTTGTGTGCAAGTAGTCAGACGGGGCTGACAATCTCTCACTCTGAGGCAGCATTAGGCCCTCTTGCTTCGCCATGCCACCTACCCCTGGCAGGGATAAAAATTAATTGTTGCAAAAACAAGACAGAGAGTTCCTCTATACATTCACCTGCTTACCCCAGAGTCGACATCTTAAATAACCACAGCAACAGTGTGGAAAACAGGAAATTAACCCTGATACAATACTGATTTCTCATCTACAGATCTTTCCAATGTTCACCAGACTTCCCACTGATGTCTTTTTTTGTTTTCCTGGTATAGACTCTAATAATACAGGATATTATTTGCATTTACTTGCCTGGTCTCCTTAGTCTTGTCCAATCTGTGACATAATCAGTCTTTTTCATCTTTCATAGACTTGACACTTTTGAAGAGAACTGGTCAGTTATTTATAGATGTCCCTTAGTTGGGAATGGTCTTATGTTTTTTCATTATTACTTTGAGGTTGTACCTTGCAGCAAAGAATACCACTGAGTGACATTGTGTCCCCCCTTTGCATGTCATACCTGAGGGCCTGTGACATCAATGTGACCTTCTACTTTAACTCTCAATGAAGGGGACATCTCCCAGGCTCCTCCACCTCCACGTCACCATCCTCCCTCTATAGTCAGTGAGCATCCTGTGGGAAGGTGCCTAGACCCCATGCAAACCTCCTGTTTCTTGTCATATTTTTACCCACTATTTTTAGCAGTTCTTAAAAATTCTTGCCTGTAAAAGTTATTATTCCTATATTTGCCTAGCAGAGATTTTTTCTACTTCTCCTCTATTGGAAGAAAGAGCTGTCCCTTCTCTCCTATTGACTTAGCTGTTTGTTTATATTAGGAAAACTTGTGGGTCATAAGTTTGATACTATCGTTATACATTTTGTGGCTCAAGTGCAACAAGCATTGGTCAAGAACTTGTCACGTTGCTTCTCTGTCCTTCTAACGTACTCCCATGTTTTTCATTGTCGAGCTCATGGCTTGGCAGCGTGGTTGTCCGAGATGATGTTTCCGTTTTCCTAGACGGAGCCCTGGACTCCCATTTCTCTAGGGTTAACCCATTCCTTATATTGGAGAATAGTCTTAGAACCAAGACCAGGCACCAGGGATGCTCTGCTTGGGTGTCACTGTCCCAGTCCTATGCAATCAGCAGGACATGCAGCGCCCTTATTTCTTTTTACATTGATCCCTTGGACCCAGGTGGGAAACCATACAGTCAGGCTGTGATTCAGCCCACACCAGTGCCCATTTACGGCCTTCCTCCTCTCCTCATTTAACAACTCCTGCTGACCATGAAAAATGTAGCTTTTATTATCCACATTATAATATTTTTTTCTAGAATTTTTTAAAGTTAAAAGAATTATTTTAATTTACACATGATTATGGGGTACAGTGTTACAATTTCACACATACATGTGATTGTAAGGATCTAATCAGGGTAATTACATGTCCATCTCCCTAAACACTTGTTCTTTCTTTGTGTTGGGAGTCTTGGAACTCTTCTCTTACAATTCTTAGTAAGTTATATTAAAAATTGTTGCCATTTGTAAACTATAGATACCTTACTGTGCTGTAGAATACTAGAACTCATTCCTCTTTTCTAACCTGTTACCCATATTGACTTAATTTTTTTGATCCTAGTAAACACATAAAATAGTTCCAGAATGATCAAATCGTATTAATCTCCCACCAAAGTGGAGAATTCGTGAGAATTTTTTTCCTTCTTCAGCCTCTTATATCTGGTTAAATACCATTTCCTCAGGATACCTGGACTAGTTTTTCACCTTCCCTTCAGTCTGGTTATGTTAATCATTTGTAATACAGTAAAGCTCATTTATTGCTGTTTGCATTCTATCCTTGTTGATTTTGAATTGTTTGGGTTTTTTGTTTATCGTGAAATATTTTAATTTCATTGTCAAATCTGAAGTTTAATTTTGCTGGATACAGTATTCTTGGTTGGAATCCATTATTGTTTGGGTTTTTTGATATAAGAAACATTACTGTGGCTGTGAGAATCATAACATGTCAAAAGATAGTCTCAAAGAAATACTGCTTCCCACTGTTTCTGTGTCTCTTCCCCACTCCCTCCACCCTGTCCTCGCCCACTCCTCCTAGGCCACAATCTCAGTTTCTGGTTTACCCTTCTCGTATTTCTTTTGTATTTGCACAAATGAGCAGATACATTTTTAACATATCTTCTTTTTTACACGAAGGGTAGCACTATAGACATTCTTATTTACTTGGTTTTTTTTTTTTTTTAACACTATGTCCTAAAAGTGACAGAAATAGTCCATATTAGGCTGCATGGTGCTCCATTGTATGAATGGACCAGTTTATTCAATTACTCTCCAGGGCTTGAAAAATTTGGTTGTTTCCATTTCATTGCAACTACAATCAGTGCTGCAACGACTAAGGCATTGTATGAGAATTAATTTGTCAAGTTTTGTTATGTACATATATGAATCTACCACAGTGAATTTCACATTTGTGTATATCTATAAAGGATTAATTTAAAAAAACGCTAAAGATAAATAGAAGAAATGCCAGTAGCATAGAAAAAGGAAACAGGGAAAGGGAGGAGGGAGGGAAGGCAGAAATACTGGGCACTGAACTGGAGCAAATTTTCTTGCATACTTGCATATGTATGTCAAAATGAACCTCCGTATTATGTAAGACTATAATGAACAAATTAAAAAAAAAATTTTAAAACCCTGTTGATTGAAATTCCATTAAATTTACAGATTGAGTGTAACTGAGGTCTTTGTGATTTTGCATTTTCCAACCCAAGAATACATATGTATCTCCATTTGGTTAGCTTTTATTTTAGACTATCAATAAATATGTCTTTATAATTTTTCCTTAAGCAGTCTTGAACATATATTGCCAGTTTTATTTCAAGATCCTGATTAGTATTTGTTTTCTGTTATTGTTGCTATTGTAAAAGGAATCCATCTTAAAATTACAGTTCTCCTTCTCTCTATTTACATGCACAAGCTGATATTGTAAACCATTGCTTTAACGCCTTTGTATCACCAGTATGTCCTCTGTTTCTTCCTACTAATCCTTTACTCCTTCTTTACCCCTTCCATGGTGTTGTTTATTTCCTCCTTAACAAAATTAGCTAGAAGTGATAATAAAGGATATTCTTATTTTTGATCAGAACTTAAACAGTAGTGTTTGTGATATTCATCATGAGGCATAATATTTGCTGTACATTTTGAGTAGATGCCCTTTATCAGGTTAAGGAATTGCCCTCCTGTTTTTTTTTTTTTTTGTTTGTTTGTTAGCTATCAGTTTAATCATATTATTGAATACTATAAAATATTTTAATGTCTGGGGGCCTCCTCTTTCCCTCTGCATTGGGTTTTGTTTTAGTTTCCTCTCGACTATTGTTACCTGTTTGTTCATAAAAGCTGTAATATCACAGAACCTACCTCTGTGAAGAAACTTGTTGGCAATTTTTCTCCATAATATAAAATTTTGATATTTGAAATAATAATATATTAATATATGTTTGAAAGTTTCTGAAATTTGTTTGCTAATATTTTATTTTGAAAATTTGCATCTCTGTTCAGGAGCATGATTGAATTTTCAGTTTTCTGTCTTTTGAGATCAAAGTATATCTGCCTCATGAGATGTGTGTTTACGTATAGGTTTCTTTCTCTTTTTTCCATTCTCTTCAAGACTTTGGAATTATTTATTCCTTGAAGATGTGGTAGAATTTCTGTTTAAAACTCTTTGGCCCTGGTGTTTTTTAATGAGCAGATTGCAATTACTGATTCAATTTCTCCAGTTCCTCAGTGGTTTATTCAGATTTTCTGTTTCTTTTTCAAACAATTTTGATTATGTATTTCAATAAAACCCCCTGTTTCCCTTATTTTCTAATTCATTTACAATATATTTGCTAAAGCATTCTTTTATGATCCCTAACCATCATGTTTGTAGCTGTAGACTCCGTTTGTCCACAGTATCTTTTATTTGTACTTTCTTTTTGTTGAAAAAAAAAGAAAGTTTATCTACTTTTAAAGAATTGGCTTTGGGTCTGTAATTTTTTTCCCCCACTACTTCATTATTTTGGTTCATTAATTTTCAGTTTTTATCCTTTTCTTTCCTCTATTCAATTTTCTTTGCTGAGATTTCTTTTCCCTAATTTTTTTGATTGTACATTTAGGTCATTAATTTTCAAACTTTTATGTCAAGTGCATGTACTTAAGCAATAAATTTCCCTCTAACTGTAGCTTTATCTGCACCTTAGAGATTTTTATAAATAGAGTTTTAAATGTAACTCAGGGCTAAATATTTACAATTATTCTTCTTATTATTAATCTGTGACCTACTTAAAATCATTTCAGAAACTTCTTATTAAAGATACATTCAGACTTTTTCTTCTGGATGGTAGATTAAAATTAGAAGTTGATTAAGATCTTGCTTAGAGAGAAGAAAAACATGTTTTAAAATCCCCATATGCATAAGATTTTTGTTTTTAAAAATCATTGATTTAGCCAGGCATGGTGGTGCATGCCCATAATCCCAGTGGCTCGGGAGACTGAGGCAGGAGGATCCATGTTCAAAGCCAGCTTCAGCAAAAGTGAGGTGCTAAGCAACTCAGTTAGATTTTGTCTCTAAATAAAATACAAAATAGAACCGGGGATGTGGCTCTGTGGTGGAGTGTCCTCGAGTTTAATCCCCAGAATCTCCCCAAAAAAGAAAAAAATCATTGATTTATAATTTAATTGCCCTGTGGTCAAGGAAATCTTTTTGTAGATATCAGTTCTTTGCTATATGTTTACATGTATTTTGTGGCCTAAAATGTCATCAGTTTCTGCAAATGTACAATGTGTACTTGAACAGATGGTGTATTTTTTTTTGTTAGTTAGAGAAATATATATATATATATATTCTACTCTACACTAATGGTTGCAGTATGTTTCATGCCACAGCATAAATAGAAAACTCTTATATTTGTACAATATAGTAGCATAAACTTGAGTTGATTTAAAAGTGTTTTATATAGTTTAGTGAAATATTTATTACACATTCTTTATGTAAATTACAAGAAAAAAATACAAAATATTAGATAAGTCACTAACTATAGTAGTCTCCCCTTATCTGAGATTTCATTCTCTGTGGTTTCAAACACTGGTGATCAACCACACTCTGAAAATATTAAATATAAAACTCCAGAAATAATTCATGAGTGTTAAATTGCACCCATTCTGAGCAATGTGATGAAATCTCCCGTGTCCTGCTCCATTTTGACAGGGAGATGAACCACCTCTTTGCCCAGTATATCCGTACTCTGTGTGCTGCCCATCCTGGTCAGTGGCCGTCTCAGTTACCAGATCAACTGTCATGGTGTCACAGTGCTTGTGTTCAAGTCACCCTTGCCTGACCTAATATGGCCCCAAAGTGCAAGAGTAACGATGCTGGCAATTTGGATATGCCAAACCAGGAGCCATAAAGTGCTTTTTTTTAAGTGAAAAGGTAGAAGTTGTAGAATTAATAGGTGAAGAAAAAAAATCCTATGCTGAGGTTATTAAGATGTATGATAAGTTACTGTCATTAATCTCCTACTGTAGCTAACTTATAAATTAAACTTTATTTTAGATATGTATAGGGACAACATACTATATCTAGGGTTTGGTGCCGTTTGTGGTTTCAGTCATCCACTGGGGTTTTAAAACATTATCCCAGGCAGTCATGGGGGACTACTGTATTTAACCTAAATAAAATATTTTTAAAAATTTACAGGAGAAGCTTGGATTTTTTCCCATGAACATAATAATTTGACATCTGGTTTTATGTTTCAAGTGGCTATACTATAATGATCTCTTCTAATCTCTCCAAATTCTTAGTGGTAAAAGAAAAAAAAAAAACCAATGAAAAACTAGACCCAAATAAGTGGCAAAAAAAATCATGAAAATCGTTAAAAATTTTATCTTCTATTTCACGAAAAAAATGTAATGTTAAACTATCCTGTGATGGGCATGGTGGCTCTGAAAGGTGTCCATTTGACTAGGTGGATTGCTTCACAGGAGTCCCCTCGTTGCTGAAAGCTCAGTCCTTGTCCCCAATGTCAATCCAATAATGAGGACACAGTTTGGAGAAAAAGTAAAAAGAAGGTTTGTTGCTTTGTTAGCAGAGGAGAAACACAGGGGACTCCTGTCCCGAAGGCTGTGATGCTGCCCATCAGCAGGAACGGGGGCTTTTAAAGAGGTGACTCAAAGGCTACATTCCAGAGTTCTCTGTTGGAGTTGTAATTCACTTGTTAACTTGGGAGACAGTCATTTCTGGTGCCATCCCCAAAGTCTGGATTACTTCATTCTTATGGTGGGTGTGCTCAGGGACAGGTAAATCTGGTAGGATGAGGAAGAAAGGTAATCCTGTTTCCCCTGAGACTGGGGAGGAGCAGGGAGAGAGGAAGAGAAAGAAACGTGTCCATTTAAAAAATAAACTGCAGGGGCAGAGCAGCCAGGGCTATATGCAAAGCGTGAAGTGGGCCTTCCCTGCGTGTTTCGCGTCAGGGTGGGCTATGAGAGGCACTCTGCAAAGCTCTGGGGGTGGAAGTGGAGGTGAAGCCATTCTGCTTGGTGTGCTGGGAGGTCGGGGCAGGTGCTTCTGAAAGCTCACTAGGTTGCTTATCTGTTGGCTCATCTCATTTGCTTCTGGAAGGCTCTGGGCCTGAACCTGATATACCTTCCTCTGGATCTTCCTTCAGCTTCCCTGATCCAGGTGTGCATTTAGCCCTGCAACCAAGAGTATCCGCAGCTCCCTGGGGGAGGAGACGCAGGTCCGGGCCTTGGTTTCAGGCCACCCTTCTGGTTCCAGTTTGACTTCCCTCTCCCTCTTTACTCACATCTTTTCCGTTCTTGGGCTTCAAATCCAATATTCAATGCAAAAATAATATCCTAACAGAGACTGATGAATTCCCACCAACACTTAAAGTCAAATCCTTGTAATCTGACGCCTTATCTCCTAGTGGTTCTGCTTTTCTAATGGAACCTTGACTTATGTACAAAGGACAAGTAGATTCAAATCCAAACAAAATTTCACATTCAAGTATTTTTAAATCTAGTGAAGCTTTCCTCCGACAATACCCGGTTACTCTCACCTGGAACGGCCTGTGACTGCCTTGGCCAGTTGGGCAGGGACAGGCCTGCTCTCTACTTCTCTTTTTCTCCTAGGTTGCAGCCCCGCTCTTTAAAAGGACTCAGCAGCTCCTGCCTTGGCCTCCTGGTACGAGAGCTGCCATGAAAGAAGGCCGCTGTCATGCTGGAAAGACCGCGTGGAGGAGACCTGACTTGATGTGCACAGGGAGAGGGCCCTTGGCGAGTCCAGCCATCCATCCCCGGTCAGGACAGAAGGTACACAGTGATCTTGAACCCCCTGCCCAGTCCAGCCCAGCCACCCGCTAAATACCGACAAGTGACCCCAGGTTACCTCATGTGGAGCCAAAGAACTGCCAGCCGTGTTCGGGCCAGTGTCCTGACCCAGAAGGTGATGGGACCGAATGCAGAGATTGTTGTTTAAACTCTCATGTCTGAGGGAGCTTGTTGCATGGAAATGGAGAACCAGAATGTGACTCAATATCTAGGTGTCCCTCCACTTCCCATGAGTTATGTCCCCCAAACCCGTCGTCGATCCAAAAGGTCTTAAGTTGAAAATGCCTTTAACGCACCTGACTTACCAAGCACCACAGCCGGCATCACGCTACACTGCGGAGCGCGGGTCCTTTACCTGTGACCCTGCGTGGACAGGCAGCTGCAGCTCTCCGTCTGTCATCTTGAGACTACGACACCATGTATCTCTAACCTGGGAAAAGACCAGAATTTGAAATTCAAAGTATGATTTCCACTGAATGCATAGTGCTTTTGCATCATTGTAGAATGATAAAAAAAAAAAATCACCAATTGAGGGCCATCTGTACACGAAGAAAGGTATCTGGGGCCACTGCCTGGAAAAGCACTTACCTGGAGCCTACTTCCCCCATTTCCTCACCCTTCCACGGAAGTGTGGGCTGCATTCCTTGCTCCTCAGGCCCTGGAGCACCAGGCCCCTGCAGGTCCACCGCAGGCAGGGTTTGTCCTACTGTGCTAGCTACGGCCTGCCTCCGGACGTGGCCCACCTTGGTCACAAGTGCACGTGGCATAGCCCTGAGCGCTCCATTCTGCTCTCAGCTCAGCTCTGACACTGCAGGCTCCCACCTGACCTTGCCCTGCTGCATGCAGCCTCCTTCCCGGGTGCCTTGGATGGGGCTTCTAACGCCTGGGGCTCCTGGCAGCAATCCCCGCCAGACTGCCCTGAGGGCCCAGGGGCTCAATAGCTCACAGCACATCTGTAACTGATTCCTGGCCTTCCTGAGTGTCTGGCACCGCTGTGAGCAGCTTTGAATTAAGTCAAGCTTCTTAATTATGTAGCCCAAATTTTCTAAATTTTTACTAATTTTTTATGTGCCGGATCACTCCTTTCCTGTCTTGTAACTTTTATTACTTAAGCTATCCTTTCTTGAAATCCTAATTTCATCATTATTTATTATGCTAATCAGCTGTCTTGAGCTCTCAGATCTGTTTCCTGCCCTCTTATTCTGCTCTATACTGTGGGCAACTAACTACATTCACAGACCCTTCTGATGCCCAAGTGAAGTTGGTCACTGGAAGACACTGGGAGGGGACTAGAGGCCTCCTGTGGTGTCTCCAGTGGTGGCCCTGTCTCCTCAGTGACTCCAACTCAGGTCATGTTTCAGCTTGCCCACTGGCCTGGCTCTGAGCCCCGCTCCACCAGTCCAGGGATCCGAGCAGTGTCCTGCTGTTTTTAATGTCTGGATTGTCTCTCTGTCCTCTCTTTGACTTCTTTGTGCTTACATGATCCACATATGCAATTAAATTCCCTCTGTCAAAAGGACTTACCATGATTTCTAGTTCAGGGATGGATACTGACTGATAGATAATATTATTACCATTATAGTAATAATTATTGATCTTATTTTCTACTTTCAGTTGTAATATAAGTCTACTCCTATGTTTTCTAATTGCTTTGGTCACCTTTGATTTTTGCTTTCAGTTTATTTATCTTTGCTGAGAGTTTTCTTCTTTGTACAGTGTAGGCTTTGTATTTGTGAAGTCTGTGTTTTGGAAAACTTAACACCTTCAGAACTTACAATTACAGCCCCTGACTTATGAGAGTCAGACTTAAAGTTTTCTGACTCTGCAATGGTGTGACAGTGATATGCATTCAGGAGAAACTGTACTTTGAATTTTGGATTTTGTGTTACCCTTTATACATGCATGATTACATGTCCTGTGTGATTCGGCACCATGTGCAGCTAGAGAAATGAGAAGTTGTGCTGTATTTGCGTACCATGCGTCAAAATTGCATTCTACTGTCATGTTTAACTAATTAGAACAAATATTTTAAAATTTTTGAATTTTGGTCTCTTCCCTGGCTAGCACTGTGCTTTGTGCTATAAGCTATAATATTTGGTAAGTTATGTGCATTAACTGCATTTTTGACTTAGGATATTTTAAATTTACAATGGGCTTGTCAGATGTAACTTCATTGTTAAGTCAAAGAATGTCTGTACAGCTTTTTGTCATTTATTTCATATCTCAATGCAGGAGGAAATGAAAAGACCAATAGGGCAGAGGCCAGGACTACCTACTGCGCTTCCATTCCATACTAATTTAATTTTAAGTTTAATTATTGTTACACGTTCTCTTTTATATAGGAAAATAAGGTTCCTCCCTCCCCACTACTCACACTCCATCCCTTCCAGGAATTGCTTTGGCATCTACAGGTCAGCAAACTGAAAAAGAATCAAAATTTCAGGCTGAAAAGAAGTGTACATACAAAAAGAGATTCAGATATGCATTTTAAAAGAAGGAGATTCTTATGTTCAGAAAAAAAAAAATAGGGGAATGAGACCTTGAAGGCCTGTGAGAAGGTCAGGGTGGGTTTTTAAGGCTTTAGAACATTAGGACATTTTTCTCAGTTGAGTCTTAACTTTCAGAAAGGGTGATGTACAGCTGGGTTAGGTGTGGAGGGACTGAGTTCATCTCATGGTCTTTTCTCTTTTTTTCCCACGTATTTATTTTACCCTCATCTTTTTACTGCGAATTGAACTCAGGGATGCTCTACCACTGGGCTACAGCCCCAGCCCTTTTTATTTTTTGCTTTGTGGCAGGGTTTCACTAAGTTACCCAGGCTGGCCTTGAAATCGTGATCCCCCTGCCTCACCTTCCCAACAGCTGTGGTGACAGCCTGGGGCCATCAAACCCACCTGCCCAGTTTGCCCTGACCCTTGAATCAGAGTTAGGTAGTGCAGTGGACTGAACTGTGTCCTCTAGAATTCACAGGGCAGAGCTCTACCCCTCAGTGTACTTGGGGAGAGGGTCTTTAAAGAGACAAGTTTCCATAATGTCACAAGGGTGGGCCCTAATCCAACATGATTAGTGCCTTATAAGAGGGAGAGACCCCAGGGACGTGGGCAGACACAGGAAAGGCCAGTGTGGACACGGCGAGAAGGAGGCTGTCTGCAGGTGAAGGAGAGAGGCCCCAGGGAAACCAAGCCTGAGGACATTTTTGACTTCTAGATTCCAGAACTGTGAGAAAATAAATGTCTGCTCTTCAAACCACCCAGTTTATGGTATTGGGTCATGGCAGCCTGATTAACAAATACAGCTGGGTGCAGAACTCTAACTGAATGTCTTTGTGCAGTGCTCTGAGGTGTTGTTCTTTGAAGTTCTGCAGTGTATCTCTGTGCCTTTTGGGTAATGCCTAAAATCTGTTTTCTAGTTATGAATTCTTTTGCTTTATCTAATGTACTATTTAAGCCATCCATTTAAGTTTTTAATTTCCTTTACGTATCCCAATGGGATGGGGTCATTTTTACCTAGACTGCTCTCTCCACATAGGGTACAGGCCTTCAGCAGGGCTAGCCTTCTGTGCAAGGTTCTCATCCAGGGCCAGTGCTTCCCTCATGTCCCTATGTGGGCATGAAATTCCAAGCCCTCAGGTGGAAAGAATCAGTGGTCACTTCTCCACCACCTCGCTGTAGCTGGTCGACTAGTCGACCTTTGGCACGTTGTTCTATTTTCAATTTTCTGTTTCTGGAGGCTGGGTCTTTCTTTCTTGAAAGCTTAACTATGAAACATCACATGGTACCCCAATTAACTAAATAATTTTTATGGATTTATTGGTTAAATTTTTTTTCTTAATATATTTGTGGTTGTTGATAGACCTTTATTTATTTATACACGGTGCTGAGAATCCAACCCAGTGCCTCACACATGCCAGGCAAGTGTGGCATGAACCACAGCCACAGCCACAGCCCTGAAATTTTTTAAATGCAATTTATGCAGGATAAATAAATATGAGGTAGATCATATGGCATTTGGTTCGGTTTCTTTGCTAATAACAAATTATCTCATATTAACATAAATATATATCAAACATCTTAAATTTGTATTTAATCAAGCATTTCTGTTTTTAAAGCAGTATTTTTCTTAGTCTTCCACTTACTAAAACAGAAAATCTTGAGTAACACTTGATAATGAGAAGAAGAAGAAAAAAAAGCCTCATTATTAGTTTTTGAAAGAGAAAGACAATTTAAGTTGTTCTGGGGCCAAAGAAAACTACCAGAAAATTCCTTCTTGATTCTTAAACAGCACTGAGAAGCCAGATAGGACAAGGACAAGGTGGGCTCCTGGAAGTCCGTGAGGAGCAGCTTACCTTACCAAAGGACTGAGCTCAGTCCTTGGAAGCCGGACTGGCATTTTCCATCATCTAATTGAAGCTCGGATGAATTATTGTTGAAGGACAAAGGATACAAGGGCAGTTGGATCTTGTGTGTGTGTGTGGGGGCGGGGGGTATAATCAGAAAGTTCTAAGAGTCAGAATGAGAGACTGAGGCCTGGGATTTTGCAGTCAGATTTATAGAAGGCTATTTAAGGACCACAGGCACCTACATGAGTGACCCCACTGCCCCGGGGTGGATGGAGGCTTCTCGTATCCTTCCTAGGGTAACGCGAGGCTTCGAGTAATATCTGCAAGTGTTTGGGATTGCTAAAGAGCTGCCCTACAGGATCCACGGGGTCTTGCCCTTCTCCAACCATTCAATAAATAGCACTCAGCGGAGATTCTGGCTGAGGATACTTGTTTTCAAAACAACAGCCCTGAGCCAACCTCCTTAAGCAGTTCCATATGTTTCTATGGAGAGTTTATGGATTGTGGCCTCCGGAATTCTTTTGTTTATCACTGGGAATCCAAGTCCTGAAAGCTGCTAACTAACCATGAGGTTTTTCTGGTTATACAAGTCGTTGGACCTCTTAAGGACTTTGACATGAGGACCACTTTCTGTGGAATAAGAATTAGTGGTTTAAAAAGAGTGCATTTAGCAGTATCAGTCAAGTATCAGTTTCTGAATGTTGTTACTGGCTGGGCCTTTACTTTTTTGCTTTCTATTATTATTATTATTTTTTAAACTGGACTGTGCTGCCTTATGTATATTCTTAAATGAGGCCCTTAAAGGGAAACCAGAGCAAAGTCTTCAAAGAGGAATTTTTTTTTTTTTAATGAACAAATATGTTGGGCACACCTGAGAAGACAGAAAGACGGGTCCTTTCCTGCCTGGGGCTGAAAGGCACAGCTCCTCAAAACACTAAGGACTCATTCCTTCCCTGGGCAATGAGTCCCCTCCCCTGGGCAATGACTCCTCCCCTCCCCCATCCAAGCCCAGTGAGCAGAGCTGCTCCTCTGCCCTTGCCAATCCCATGCCCAACACATGGCGGATCTATCCTGTTTCCAGGAAAGAGGTTTCCGTGGAATGCTTCATCAGCCTTAATCATAGCTACTATTTACTGGGCACTTTGTGCCAAGTACTGTAGTCTTTTTATATTTGATCTCTTTTAATCCTCTTCTCACACTAGCCCAGTGAGGTGGGTACTGTAATCATCTCTCTTTTTACAGATAAAGAAATCGAAGCTCAGCGTTTTGAGCAATTTGCCTGAAGTTCCTTAATAGCTGCATTAGCCTACTACTTTAATTTTTGCTACCAGTGGCAGAGTTGGGATGCGAATTCAGGCTGCCTGATGTGAAGCTGTTCTCCGCCAGGCTGTCCCCCTCCCCCTCTCTCCCAGGAAGGGACTTCTGCCCTGAAGGCTCAGCCTCTGCCGCTCTCCTAGCTTGGAAACACTACTGTTCTTTTAAAATGTCTTTTGTGTTGCTTTTCCTGCTGTTTCACATACAGCAGTGCAGAAGAGGGGCTGGTCATCTCCCGATAAAACAATCCTTCACACATGTGAGCACCATCCGCAGCTGATGACATCTGGCTTCTCCAGAGCATGAATGATGTGCCAGCACCCCGGGTTGACACCCTTGGAAGGCCTGGGTGCCCGCTGCCCAGGCTGACGAGTGACTCAGCAGAGAGCACACCATGCTGCGTTTGGTCTCCACAGATGAGTCAGCCCTGACGAATGGCCAGCTCCAGTGTGGCCCCCTGACGTTTTAACAGAATATTAATTGCCCTGTCACTTCCTGTTCCACACAGCTGGGTGGGATTGCTACCAGCCACACTGTGGAGCAGCTACATAGTTCAGCCCAGCCCAGAAAGGTTTCCTGTGGTGGGTGAGATGACAACATGCACAAGGGTCAGACTCCAGATGTGGGAATCTGGACTTTCCTTCTCTTGGGGAAAAACATCGCCTCGTTATCATCTCAGAAGGTTTTCAGTACAGATTCAGGGCCAACGTCTGCAGAAAGAGCCCAGCTTCTCTCACCGGGAGGGCACCAATGTGGTCCATGTGAAGGTCCCCGAGGCTCTGAGGCCACCTACCCCAGAGCCCAGGGACCAGGGGCCAGGGGAGAGTGTTTAGGCATGAATGAGGGGAGCCAGATCTAACGTGCTCCTTGATGGTGGAAGTCATTTCAAGAAGAGGAGCAAGTTATTTCCTGGATCGAGGGCCTGCAGCTGGTGGGAAGAGCACACAGCGGCCGGGTGGGGAGTTTCCCTTCATTCTTTCATTCACTCATTCATTCATCTGTTCTTTCTTCCCACAGACCTTCACCTCAGGCTGCAGAACTCACTCACAGTATATTCAGAGGGGAGAAGAAAATGCGACTTCATTTTTCTTTATTGGTTGATACAATGTTCCTCCCAAGTCTGTCCCTGGACTCCAGGGTTAAATTGTAGCCTGACGTTGTAAACTTAGTCCATTGGGCTCCAGGTGGACACTGGGTTTCCTTTCGGCTTTCCAATGTCCCCTCCTTCCCTCTGCTCCTAGGCAGGTTCTGAGCATATATGTGCCCGGTGGATGGAATCCTCTCTCAGACGTTGTGTGATGCTGTCAGCTGGGAAGGTCCTGGCCCCCCTCGCTGGCCTGTGTGGCAGAGCGGTTCCCACAGGGAACCAGGGAAGTCTGTGATGTTCCTTGAGGTGCTGGCATCCATCGCCGGAGAGCATGGCTCCAGGGCTTGGTCTTTATGCCCCAGTGAGGCTAAGGAAGGCGCTGGCTTGGTTCTGACTGCAGGCCCCGCTGCTCCTCCAGTACTTTCTATGAGGGAAAAAGAGAAAGAAAGGAGCTTTCAGGTGAGAAGACGTGTCAGTGAGCTTCTGCTGCAGTGATGCTGTGTAACAAACCACCACTGATACTCAGGAGCTTAAATACATATTTATTTAGCTAAATCAGCAATAAATATTTATTTAGTTCAGGGTGGGCAATCTTTTTTTCTGTAAAGTGCCAAACAGTAAATCTTTCAGGCTTTCCAAACCATACAGTTTGAACTTTGTCCACAAAAGCAGCCATAGGCCACATGTGAATAAATAAATGTCACTATGTTACAATAAAACTATATTGATGGACAATGAAATTTGACTTTTATTTAATTTTCTTTCTTTTTTAAAAATTTTATTTATTCATTCATTTTAGTTGTTGATGGACCTTTATTTTTTATTTATAGGTGGTGCTAAGAATTGAACCCAGTGCCTCACACATTCGAGCGAGGCAAGCGCTCTACCACTGAGTCACAAACCCAGTCCCCTTATTTAATTTTCATGTGTCATGAAATATTATCCTTTTGATCTTCAACCATGAAGTCGAATGGCCCGTGACTGCCCCCTGCCCCCGTGGACCATACAAAAGCAGATGGTGTCCAGATTTGGGCCGTGGCTGCAGCCAACTGACCCCGAGCTCTTTCCCGAGTCTGCCCTGGGATGGGCTGTGCTTGCTGGTGAATGTGCAGGAGCTGTGAGGTGGCTGGGGGGCTCTGCTGGTTTTTGACTGGGCTTGTGCTGTGTCTGGGGTGGCCAGTCCAGGGTGGGCGTGGCTGCAGCGACTGGCAGGTGCCCTGCTGCCCAGCCAGCTGGCAGGTTAATCTGGGCTCATTTTCCTCCAATGGCGAGGCACTGAGCATGGGAGATGTGCAAGGGCTTTGTGCTTGAGTTAGGTGGGCTACATCCTGTGAGCCAAACAGGCTACCAGCCTGCGGCCAGAAGGAAGGGTGGGGCAGGAAGGCTCCTCCCGTGAGAGGGCACCACCTGGGTACATGGCAAAGCACTGGGGCCATTAATACAATTCACCTGCAAGGACCTAACTTGGGAAGAATTTAAAAAAAACATTCTACTCGTACTCCTTCTTGTGATGAGGATGTGGTAGGAAATATAGAAATAAGGGCCACAGGCAGGTGAAACGAGTGATCGGAGAGTCTCTGAGAAGGCGCAGAGGCAAGGAGGAGTGCGCCTGTGAAGACGTCCTAGCTACGGCAAATACGATGATTGACAGGGTGAGAGGAGAAAAGCCGGATTTCCACGTAGGCTTGACAATACCTGGTTATGTAGGGGAGGCGCAGGGTGAGGTCCCGGTCCACCAGAGAGCCTCAAGAGGGAGTGAAACTGGGCGTTGGCATCTTAACCCTCCAGCAGCATGTGGCACTTGATAAGGACACAGAGAGCACTGGGAGGCCCCCTCCCCTTTCTTTTCAGGAAAGGAAGGAATGAGAAAGGGCGGTCAGGGTTCACAGACTGACTCTCAACTCAAGGTGAAGTTTAGGAGTTCAGATCCGGTTGCAGGTTACAGTGGTTTTGGAGTGAAGGATCAGAACTCAGCCACTCCCTCGCTCCTTCCCTTTCCTTCCCTCTCTCCCCTCTTCTTCCTCCCTTTTCTCCCCCTCTCTCTTTCCCTCCCTCCCTCCCTCCCTTCCTTTCTTCCTGCTCATGCTTGAGCTGGGTACCAGGGGGAAATGGAGGCTCTGACCCTACAGACCCTGACCCGAGTCCTTGGCATCATGGGAAATTCCTTGGCTTGCTTTCTGGAGGTTGGCTGCGCCCCAAGCCTCCCCTGTTCACAGCGGAGCCATAGATACAGCCTAGTTTTGTGCGGGGACCTGGGGGCTGGGTTATGAAACACCCTGTGCTGTCTGTGTGGTTTCCCGGTGGCAAAAATGGAAATGTGTTTGCCTTAGACTTCAAGCTTCAGTGTTCCTCTATTAATCGTAGCTGTGGTTTGAAGTTCATCACAGCAAATACAATGAGACCTGACAATTTAAAATGAAAGTCACACATATCTGAAATGAGCCTCGTAGGTTTCAGAGTAGAATATTCTAAAAGAGCGGGAGACACAATGGCCTTGTGTTTATGTCACCTAAATGTTAATGCTTTTCCCTTTCCTTATCTCCTAGGTCCCGCTGGCTGTCCAAGATCCCTTTATTCTTTGGCTAGAATCAATGGTATCATTAAAAAGGAATGTTTGGAAGCTGTTTCCTACCTCCACCCCCAGAATTTCAGATGGCATTTGCTTCCCTAGGAAAACAGACTTGAAACCAAGTTGGAGAAGAATGATTATTTGCATTTTGCTTTATGTTGCTGCTTTTCCCTCTAAAAAGAAACTTTTATCATCCTCGAGGTTTCATGTTGAGCAGACGTTTTGTTCTGTCCCTATGATCTTCCCTAATCTGTTCTCACTGCGTCAGTGAAAGGAATGAGCATAGGCCTGAAGGGAATCAGGCTAGGCGTGAACAGGGTGCTGGCAGGATCTGGTAGAACCGGTCAGCTCTGCGCAGCTGCTGGTGGTGCTGGGCTAGTCTGCCTACATAGGCTCATCCAGAGCTTTCCATGCCCCGGGGGCGCTGAGCACTCCTGAGTCCTCACCTCCAGGCCTTCTTCTCCTCAAACAGTTAGATCTATATTCCCAACTATTGCTCGATATCATGATACCTTCCAAGTCTAATGATGCGCCTCAAGTTCAACATGGCTGAAAGAGACTTTTGACTCTGCACCCACCTGGGCACCTGCTCCAACCCTCCCTGTACTAGTAAAGAGCTGCTTGCTTGACGTCCTAGGGGCCACCCTCACCCTTATGTGCTTCGTACCTCTCCTGCAGTCCAGCAGGCCCGTTCAGAACCTGGCCTCTTCTCAGCCTCACCGGCCATGGTCTCCCAGTTCCTGCTCACGGCCAACCTTCGTACAGCAGCTAGAGAGACATTTCTAATAAGGAAAGCTCCACCTGCTTAAATTCTTCTTATCCCGCCCCCCCCCCCACACACACACACACCCCCTTAAGGTGGAATGTCGGCTCTAAGGCCCCAGGCCTCCGCCGTCCTCCTTCTGGTCCTTCCTGGAGCACTCCCTCCACTCTGTCCCTCCTTTCCAAGCACCCAGGTTTCTCTGGGTCTTTGCTCTTGCTGCCTGGAATGTGCTTTTCCCAGAAGCCTGGCTGCCTCCTAGTCAGCCTTCAGATCTTGGCCCAGCTATCTGGTCCTTCCTCTGAGAGTCCTTCTGGGTCCAGGCCAGCTGAGGCCACAGTGCTCTTCCTCTCCCATCACTACCTGTCCATTTTAATGATTATTTATACTTTTATCATGCCTAGCACCTGGACAAGGTTTAGCACACTGTAGATGCTGCAGAGATGTCTGCTGAATTAATGAAAAAGTAAAAATAAAAAACACTGATAAGATAGGATTGACCTTGATGTGGGACTTTAAGATGTTTGCGGTGGGTGATAATTCCACTGGGTCTGGTGGCTCTTCTCCTGTTTCCAGCTCACAGGAGCCAGGCCCCCTTGCCAAGCCCTGGTTCCTGCTGATCTGTGCTCTGGGCCTCTTCTCTTGTCAGCACCACCTCCACCAACACTCCCCCAGCTCCTGTTATGGGCCAGGCACTGTTCTGGGCCCAGGGGAGACAGAATTGAGCAAAAGAACAAAAGCACCAGCTTCCATGGAGCTAAGGATGCCTGCATCTGGCTTACGTGTACCTTTGTCTAGTCCCGATACCACACAAATCCTGACAGAACCAGCTCGCACCAGGCGGGGGCGGGGGTGGGGGGGATGGGGGGGGCCTTGATGGGAATCGATCCAGGTAGTTCCGGAGATTCCCAATTTGTTGGAAATGAAAAGTGTCCCCTAGCTGGGTTTCTTGGTTGTCCCAGAAGGAGAAAGTGAGGCAGAGTCTAGTCCAAAATCATGTCAGAATGGAATGGAATGGGGGACCCCAAAAGGTCCCCTCGGCCCCAACTCATGGCCTCACTCGGCAGGCAGCAGTCAGTGCTGCTCCAGAATCTCAGGTGGACTCAGTTAGAGCTCAGGCCCTCAGGCGGGCCAGCCTCTGCCTCCTGACGGGAGGAGGGCCTTGGCTGGCCAGAGTTGGCCACGGTCACCTCACCTCCATTTGTCTTCGATGTCTGTGAGCAAAGCTGTCTTCTAACCTGAAATAAAGCTGAGTTCACCACAGGCACACTGTTAGGGATGATTTTTCATTTTAGAAAAACTTTAGTGCTGTCCAGGTGGACTAAACTAGGAGGACTAAAACTTGGGTCTCAGAGAGCAACCGACTGCCAGGTTAGCTTCCAACTTTAAGAAGACAAAACAAGACGACATTCACCAAATTTACAATCGTTTCACTGTCCTAATGGTCAACTTCATTTTCCTGTAAAAACTACCCAAACTTGGCAGCACCCTGGAGGCTGCCGCACTTGGAGCCCGAGCCACGTGGGGGGGGTCAGAGGTCGCACAGGCTTCCCAGCTCCACACCTCTGCCCCTCCCCTCCCACGCCCCCCTTGGAACTTCACTGCCTGCTTAGTAAGTGAGATCTGAAGGGCCCAGTGAGCTTGGACCTTAGGGTGGAATAGAAGTGTGTTCCCATGAGATCTGCCCCTCGAAAGTGATATTTTAAGTATTCACCACCACCAATACCCTCAGGGAGCTGCAGTGGGTCTGGCCCTCTCCTCTCAGACTTTGAACTTCTTCCTCCAGGTGTGTCCCATGCTGTCCTTACTCACAGGGAGATGTCTCCCAGAGAGTCTAAACACAGTCACTTGGTTGAGTGCCTGAGAATTTGGCTTTATGCCTTATTTTAAATCATAACAATGTATAATTTGGGTCACATTTGCATTTGTGTGAGAGCCTCCCTTCCTCTTTCTCCTTTCTCCTCCTTGGGGTCTCTTTAGGTTGTATATACTTAGTGATTCCAGATGGTTTGCCTCTGGGGTTTGTTTAGACATCTTTAGTCCATGGAAATCCTAAGGAACAAGAATGGCTTGTTTCTTTTGCCTATTTTTAAGTTTGATTTGCTCCTGAGTGTGTGTGCTAGTCAACTTTTCATTGCTGTGACAAAATACATGAGGAAATCAACTCAGAGGAGGAAAGATTTATTTTGATTCACGGTTTCAGAGGTTTCAATCCATAGTCACCTGGCTATTGTTCCTAGGCCTGGGGTGAGGAAGGATGTCAAGGCAGGGAGTGTGTGGGTGTGACAGGGCAAAGCTGCTCTCCTCATGGCAGCTGGGATGCACAGAAATAGAAAGAGGAAGGGTTGTGGACAAGATGTACCCTTTAAAGTCATATCCCCAGTGACCTACTCCCTCC